GGGAAAGCTGAAATCACCCACTATGAAAACATTCATAATATTTTGTCATGTACCAAAAGGTAGGCTGGTGTTTTGCTTGACAATATGTTTCCTCATCAAACTGAAGGCATTAAACATATTTGACATCCTCCCAAAGAAAGCGACGACTTATTGTCTTGGTTTTTCAGCTTTTTGCACGCCAGAGTTGTCTTTTCCTCTTCAAAGATATGCGTTTATCATAAGTCCAGCTGTAAACATGCAGAGTTGGGTGGCGGAGCTGTTAAGGTGGTTGTAGTTTGTGTATAATCCTCACTTCTTGTCCCCTGCCTGCCCTCCTAATCCCTTGGCATGTGTTGGTGACATCACATGGCTACTGGCTCCAAATTCCCCTTGCAACTGTCATTAACTCGGTGAACAAATGAATAATGACTGGGAGACTCGCTGGCTCCCACCACTGACCTTGGGTATTATTAGAATGACCTCTCTTTGGCTTGACCAAAAAAAAAAAAAAAAAAAAAAATATAAATATATATATATTACAAACCTTTTTGATATCATTGCTGGAAGTACACTAGGAGTGATGGCCTGTCTGCCGGAGGGGTGGGGTGGTGGTGGTGGGGTTGGAGCAGTCAGCAACCACCAGTGTCATGTAAACCTATACCTTCCACCCACTGCTGTTTCATGAATACTTAATTAGAGCACACAGCCTGAAATACCCGACTTGCAAGTTGCCTGACCTGTCTTTTACCAACAATGCACAATATTTGGGTTTAGCTGCAGCGACATGGTCAGATGACATGTTTCATTACAAAAAAAAAAAAAGAAGAAGAAGAAGGAAAAAAATAAAAAGAGGGCCCTTTTGGGAATCTTGTGGCGGTTAACTGTGTGATATCATCTGTGCAGACAGAGGAGGCAGTCAGGTGTGGCTGTGGGAGGAAGCATCTCCATATGTCAAAGAGCTGCTTCTCACAAAAACATGCTGGAAATCAGACGCTGGTATGGGAACCCAACCTGCAGGGAGATGAAGGAGATTTACAACACTGGCAAATACCTGCATTTACTTAGATATTATTGCTGGGCTGGTGACGTTTGATACCATTTCACAAAAGCATTTGAATGTTTGGTTCATTTTATTGAGATTTTAAATACAATTTTCAACAAAGTGAAGAATATTTGTAAACCAGCTGCAACATAACAGAACACTCTGTACAATGATGCATCAAATATTATACTGAAAAAACACTAAACCAATTGTATGAATACTTTTCAAGGAAAACAGTGTCTCTCTCTCTCATATATATATATATATATATATATATATATATATATATATATAGT